CATGTATCAGCTTGCGCCAGCTGCTCCACCAGCAAACCTCCTGCCACAGCTCGTGGACTCCGAGTCCACTGCCAAGGACCAAGGACCCCTCACTCTCTGCCATTCTCTGCCCTCCAACTGCTTATTGGGATGCCATACTCGCTATGTTCATAGGGGCGACTTCTAAGACGCCTTAAAAAGCCCATTGTGCAATGATAGGTATTCGTGTCGGAGAGTCGTGCGGCCTCACACTGCGAGGGCGCGAGCTTGACGCGCCTCGCGTCGCGCTCCCACGGCAACGAGGCTCGCGGTAGTAGGCGGCGCGATGGGTCCTTGGTTGCGAGGGTGCTGGTAGCGCGGCCGCCTCGCAGGGTGGTGGTAGTAGTTGTGGTAGCAGTGGTTTTACTACTGGCAGTGAAGGGTGAGAGGAGCACGAGGAGCAGCAGCACGATGCCGCGCAAATAGCGGTGTGGGTGGCGAGGGACCATCGTAAGCGGCGAGTTCCGCGCTATGATCAATGCTGGAGAGCGAAAGGCGAGAGGAAGGATTATGCCGCGCGAAAGGTGGACGTTGGTCAAGATTCTCGCGACTTGGGAGAGTTTGGAAGAACAGAGAGACGAGGAGAGAGGAGTGCGTGCATCGTTCATCTGCTTGTGACTCAAAGTTGTGAGGGAGAGTTGGGCGGATCTGGAGTGGGAGGAGAATTTAGGGCTGAGTTTCAGCGTGCACACCTGGGAGGATGGGTATGGGATGGGAGGTCCGCGGAGGAAAAGGGGAATGGAGGCAAGAAAGCTGTTCACATCGGGCGGTTCAGTTGCTCCCCCAACCCCTCCACCAGATCCCTCCCATCCATCTCTTCCCATCCCGTCCCATGCCATCTACAAACCTGCTGATCTGTTAGGTAGAATATTGTTTCAGGCGCACCGAAATACAGCTCCAGAAGGCGGAAGCTGTTGACCTTTCTGACCTACTAGGAACCACATGAAGGGGAAAATTTTAATGATAAAAAAACATGCCTTTATAGAAACCTGCTACTAAGAAAGAAAATCCCATTCTTTACTCATTTATTATACATCTCCTGGCAAAGATGTCCAATTGTGGTGAAGTCTTCCTTTCTGGATGCTCCCCTCAGGAAGAAACCATCAACCACTGCCTTTTTCTATTGTCTAACGATTAAACATGTCATTAGGGGAGCAAATTACAAGCGTTTGGGCTTTCACGTCTTCAACTTTAATTATGGGTACGGACCATCTCTCGATATTTCCTTTGTGTGGTTCTATATGTGTAATCAAAGTGTAAGTTGGTGTATTCTCTTCTCAAATGTGTTGAGATATGTCAGTAGAGCTGCACTTTGAGATCCCCGAATGATCCTAGGGGGGTTACAGGCATGTTAGCCTATGGGGTTATGGGCACACTGACCCGCTTCCAAAACAAGCCGTTTTATCACAGTCTCGAGTTCGAATCACGGTGTATGCACTGTCAAAACATATTTGTATGTTTTAAGTTTTGCTAGGCTACAGTGAGGTGCTCAGTATAGAGTACAACCCCAGTTAGGGTCTCATACTTGTATCGCCCTGTTGCTAATCATTCATCATTCCTGTTCACAGATTCTAACATGGTATTAGAGCAGGATCGTTCCTAGGGCCCACCGACCGAACGTTCCGCCCTGCCCTGCCCGTAATTTTTTTCTGCCCTGCAGCCCACGCGCCGCACTGCCCTGCCCTTAGGCCTGCGCGCCGCCCTGCCCTGCAGCCCGCGAGACGCGCTGCCCTGCCCTGCAGCCCGCGCGCTGCGCTGCCCTGCCGTTAGGCCCGCGCGCCGCCCTGCCCCTTAGAGCCGCGCTGCCCTACCCTGCAGCCCGCGAGCCTTGCTGCCCTGCCCTTAGGCCCACGCGCCGCCCTGCCCTGCAGCCCGCGAGCCGCGCTGCCCTGCCCTTAGGCCCGTGCGCCGCCCTGCCCTTAGGCCCGCGCGCCGCCCTGCCCTTAGAGCCGCGCTGCCCTGCCCTGCAGCCCGCGAGCCGCGCTGCCCTGCCCTTAGGCCCGCGCGCCGCCCTGCCCTGCAGCCCGCGAGCCACGCTGCCCTGCCTTTAGGCTCGCGCGCCGCCCTGCCCTTAGAGCCGCGCTGCCCTGCCCTTAGGCCCGCGCGCCGCCCTTCCCTGCAGCCCGCGAGCCGCGCTGCCCTGCCCTTAGGCCCGCGCCCCGCCCTGCCCTGCAGCCCGCGCACCTGCTTCCCAGCGCGCCGCTCACTGCCTGCGCGCTGCCGCTGCTCCCACCTACGCAACTACTGCTACTGCAAGCGCTACTGCTGCTGCAAGCGCTACTGCTGCTGCAAGCGCTGCGGAGAATAGTATTCTACGGGAGAGCTGAATTGCGTGGGACGCACGGTCAGAGTTCTGGCAGTGATTCTTGACAGAGTGTTGGAATGCCTTGGTAGAAATAAAGCATAGTTTCACTAAGGAAAGGTGATAGAACAAGATTAGAATACAAGCAAAGAGAACCAAATAGCAGAAGACAGAACCCTGAAGAGAACGTTCCTCGGCATACACTTGACTCTGTCGAGTCAGCAACGGCAGGTGAAACGACAAGCACATGCACCTTTCACCTGAGTTGGCAGTTGCTCAGGTTTTACAACATTCATAGTTGTATACGTTTTTGTAGTTAGCAAAAACGTGTTTCAGGTTCTGTTCCTTAGCAGATTCGAATTCTCCTGGGGAGTACAATTTCCGAGATTACCTGATTGGTCGAAATCTGCTGTTTCGCGATTGGTCGAAATTCGCGTACATTGCGAATTTCGGAGCCAAGTAATTCTGTTCGACCAGAATCGCTCTGCTCGACGAAACACTCGTCGAACTCAAGTCTGTCGACCAGCAATCCGTCGAAACACCAATTCTGACAATTCCGTCTATCAGAAAGGCTCGTCTTCGACGCAGTTTTACTCCCGTCGACGAGCTCCTCCTAGACGAGGACTTTGATTGAGCAGAGGAAATACTTCTACCTCGACCAATTAATCTCGTCGACAAACGACCAGTCGCACACAGATAAAAGTCCCCGAAGTCTCCGATGACCACGAAACGAACACCGTCTTGTTCCGAAATGCCTGGTCGACTTCGCCCAAGCGAGGGCGGGGCCTTTTCTCTTCGACACTCCCCTGCCCAGCTCACGCTTGGGCACCCACACAGAAGGTTCACCCAGAACCCAGATGGATAGAATACAAGGAGAAAATTCCTTCTACGTGCACCGAACTCATAGCACGTAGATCACCGCACCAGCCGTGCAGAAAGGGCACGGCACCTACTGCTGCACCTCGTCATCCCCGTCGCCCACGTCGGCCAGACGCACTTGGCCGATTGCGACGGAGCACCGGTTGAAAGCCGGAAAATGCAGCGCCTTCGTCAGAAAATCTGCCGGCTGTTCGGAGGTCGGGATGTACTGCAGAGCAATCTTCCCGCGCTTCACCATCTGCTGCAGCCAGGCGTAGCGTCGCTCCATGTGCTTGAGATTGCCCTTGAGCCCCAAGCCCTCTGCGACAGTGATCGCTGACTGGTTGTCCACGTGCAGAACAGTCGGCTTCCTTGGGTCGAGCAGTCGGAACTCTGCAAGGAGGAAGCGTAGACGGCGAGCCTCCTTGCTGGCTTCGGTGGCCGCGACGTACTCTGACTCGGTCGACGAGAGCGTCGCGCAATTGATGCGCTGGCTCGACCAAGAGACTGCGGCTCCTCCGAAGACGAAAACGTAGCCGCCCGTGCTCGTCCGATTCTGCTTGTCGCCAGCGTCGTCGGCATCTGCATAGCCGACCAGACACAGCGACTCTGGTCCTCCACCGAACTCCAGAGCGGCGTCACGAGTTTCAGCGAGGTAGTGCAGACAGCGGTCGACCTCGCGCCAGTGGTTATCGCTCCGCACTGTCAGGCCGGATCCAAGCTTGCTGCAAGCAAAAGCAATGTCGGGCCTAGTCGTGGTGGCCGCGAACTGCAGCGAGCTGACCTTCTGCCGGTACTCTGCTTCCTCGCGCGACTGAAACTCCTCGTCGTCGAACACCTGCTCTGCGTAGGCGTCGACGGAGACCGGCGTCTTCGGCACTCGCCCGGTCTGCTCCTCGTCGATGAAGCGCCGACGCAGCTTGTCGACGTAGGCTTGCTGGTGAAGCCACAACTTCCTCGCAGGTCGGTCGCGCACGATCTCCAGCCCGAGATACTTCTCGACCGGGTTGATTTCGCGCAGCTCAAAGGCGGCCTCCAGCAGCTCCTTCAGGATCGCAGTGCTGCTGCTGGCGGCGAGCAGATCGTCGACGTAGACGAGCACCCAGCACGCCACTCCGTCGTCGCCGACCTTGAAGTAGAGCGCTTCGTCTACCTGGCTCTTGCTCCAGCCAGCGCCGATCAGCACCGCGTCGAGCGC